GTTCTATTTGACTAATTTTCTGTAAAACATTACTGGTTATTTCACTTGGTCACTCACAACCCGTCACATGTAGTACCACTGTCTTTCCTAACTGGGCATTCAAAAAATACTGATCTTTCGCCAGGTGGTATATCCAGCTGCATGAACCCTCCTTCCTTGACAAATTGGCTGGTTCTGTGTTCCCCAGACACATCTCTGCTCTCTTGCTTCCACACTTTTCCTCACTCCAGTCTGCTTGGTTGGAATGCACTTTTTACTTCTGTCACATTTGTCTTTCAGAGGTCAGCGAACTATAGCCCAAAGACCAAATCTGGCCCACTGACAGTTTTTATAAATAAAGTTTTATTGGAAAACAGCCACACTCACTGGTTTATGCATTGTCCGTGGAAGGTTTTGCACTATAAAACCTGGGTTAGGGTTGAGTAGGCAAAGCCCTGTTCACTCTGGCTCTTTAAATATAAAGTGTTCTTTTATGTGCAGCTTACAGTGTGCTTTCTAGAAGTTAGGGATATACATCTTCTGGTCCCAGAAACACTAGGAAAAAGGGGAAATTACAAATGTGAAAATTAACTTTCAGTCATCCTTTGTATCATATCTCTGTTTCAAACACACTAGAAATCACAGTTGCAGACAAAGCAGTCTTAAACTAAGCCATCAGGAATTAAATGTGAAAAAGCAAATGCTTTATAGTGACTGTGGTGTGATGATCACAGTCCTTTAGAAACTGGGGATAAGAATGTGAGATGTTAATGAAGGTTGCCCTAAGTATCTAGGCCTAGATGCGTAGTTCTTTTTCTATCCCTGATGGAGAAGAATTTAATAGTGATGCATATTGGGCTTTGCTAGCTGTGACAGTATCCTGGGAACAAGTCTCAGGCATTCTTGTTACATTTTCTCATTCACAGTAAATTTTCTGGGATGAAAACCAGACATTAGGGATAAAAGTACAGCCTAGAACAACAGAAGTTAAAGGCATGTGTGATTATTGATAAATAGTTATAAGGGATTAAGAAGATTAGAAATTTAGGAAAGACCTGGTCCACCTGGAAAATAAATGGGCCGGTAGATCAGATCAAATGGCCATTGGATTTTTGAGTGGAACTGTTAAAAGGGAATAATTCTATCTGAAAGAAATTTTGACAATAAAATCCTTTGCATGTTGTCAATGTGGACTTTGAATAGATCATTTATCTTTATCAAATGTCCACTGTGATGCCAGATTAATTCTTTTTGGAAAGAAAGCCTAGGTAGATAAATTATTAGTATCTTTGAAATATACTGCACATTTGAGACAAGGTAATTTTTTTTTTTTTTTGAGAGAGTCTCATTATGTCACCCTTGATAGAGTGCTGTGGTGTCACAGCTCACAGCAACCTCCAGCTCTTGGGCTTAAGTGATTATCTTACCTCAGCCTCCTGAGTAGCTGGGACTACAGGTGCCTGCCACAATGCCTGGCTATTTTTTGGTTGCAGTTGTCATTGCTGTTTAGCAGGCCTGGGCCAGGCTGGAACCCATCAGCCTCAGTGTATGTGGCTGATACCCAACTCACTGAGCTATGGGTGGGCACTGAGCCCAGAATGCATTTTTTATACTCTCTTTTGCACATCTTGTCTTATAAATACTCTTGCTAAGTGGTGATTTTATAAAATCATATTAGACCTGATGGAAGTGTCAGAATGTAGTTATCGTGCACCTGAGATGTAATTACACAGAGCCCTGTTCAACTATAATGTGCATCTCACCACGGCAGACACTTTATATTATTTTATCTTCAGGACAATAACTTCACTACCATCCCTGTTTCAAAAGTATAGAAAGTGAAATTCAGTCCTTAAAGGTCACTGTGTTCATCAAACTCAGGAAAATAACCTTGGTATGGTTGATCTCACCCATATGTTCCATTTAAATCATGTCATGTCCTAAGTGTCCTTTATTACAAAAATCAAATGACGGCAGTGTCTCTCTTTGCCACCTGTCCTTTTTGGTTCAGGGTATAGGTCATGTGTCTTTAGTCTACTTCAATCTGGACCAGTCACTTTGCCTTTGTCTTTCATAACCTTGACATTTTTAGAGAGTATGTGTCATTTACTTTGATTCTTTTCCGTGTGGGTTTATCTGCTATTCCCTTGTGATTGGATTGAGGTTACGCGTTTTTGTCAGGCACACGACAGGGGCAATGCTTTGTTCTCAAAGCATCATGGTAGGTGGCTCAGAATTTTGATTTTTTCTATTATAGGTAAAGTTAACTACTTTTTAAACTTTTACCACTTGTTTAATTTGTGTTTGTCAGGTTTTTCTACTGTAAAGTTAACAAATTATTTTGTACTTATATGTACGTATTATTATATGGATGGCAGAGACCTTGAGACTCTACAAATATGTCATTCTCCTCACACTTCTCTCTGCTAGTCGTAGCTTACTGCAGATACCGCCAGATGGTGGCCTTCTAATTCCATTGTTCCTTCTACATTTCTTAGTTGACCTTTTGTCATAAGTTGACCTTTTTCTTCCCCCATTGGCTTATTCATTTATTTATTTTATTTAAGACAGATTCCCGTCTTGCTCAGGATGTTATAATCCATTACTACCATCATTTACTTTGGTGTATACCTGGTCCTGGGTTTGGCTGCTGGGGTCCTGCCGCACTGGCTGTGGTGTCCTTTTAGTGTGTCCTCAGCATTCTTGGTGCACTTTGCTTCTTAATGGGACAAAAAGGTGTTCCACTTCAGGTGCTATTTTCCTCATCCTGGCCCTAAAAGCAGTTGTTTTGCCAAGGATGCCTGGTTCCTTTAAATGGGGAATGGTATTTAGAATATAAAATTTGGGCTTTAGTGTTTAGCGCCACTGGGCAGTCATTGTGTTTAGGACCTTTCAGTGGACAAATGAAGAAGAGATGTGAATGTGTGTATGCGTGTACGTGTGTGTACACACATATACAAATGCTTATATTCCTGTATCTGTATAGCTGAAAACCATGAGGTAACACTGATGTTTTCAATTCTAGTCTACTCTAGCCTTTCATCTTTGAGTCTTTTGTGCCTTTCTTCTTCTCCAGTGAGAACCCTGGCTCTCACTACCCTCAATATATTGACATGTTTGGGCTACCTCTCTATATGTAAGCAATCTCCCCATCTCACAGGCTGTCCTCTCAGTCCTAGCCCTGTTGGCTAGGGTGGTGCAGACTTGAGCTGGGCCAGACACTGTCTCCTCCCAGAGCAGGGATTCACATTAGCCCAGGAGTGGGATTCCTTAATGCTTAGTAACTGTTACTTTGTGGTTCAGGCTGTTTATGAAGAATGAGCAGTGCGCAGTGGCAGTGAGGGGATTGGAGACTAGGGAGCTGAACTGAGTGCTGAGATTTAGGCCAGAATCAGAAGGGCAGATCAAGTCTAGGCAGTAATCCCCTGAGTGAAGGAATATTAACACTCTTATGAATAAATATTAATATTTATGTGTTATCAGGAGATACTTTTCATCTGTTAATTTTTTTTTTTGAGACGGAATCTCACTATATTGCCCTCAGTAGAGTGCTATAGTGTCATAGCTCACAGCAACCTCAAACTCCTGGGCTTAAGTGATTCTCTTGATTCAGCCTCCCACGTAGCTGGGACTACAAGTGCCCGCCACAACTCCCGGCTATTTTTTGGTTGCAGTTATCATTGTTTAGCTGGCTCCAGCCGAGTTTGAACCCTCCGGCCACAGTGTTTGTGGCTGGTGCCGTAACCACTGTGCTACAGGCGCCGAGCCATTCATCTGCTATTTGAAAGACTAGTATAAAATAGCCAGAAAATAAAATTGCTTCTTGATCTTGTGGGGAGGGGAGTTCTAGAGTTCTACTAAATTCTCAGCAGAAATGTTTTAGAATCTTTTATGTCCATATGCAAAACTAAATTTGGAGTGAATTTGGAAGGATAGAAAAATGTTCAGGTCTCTTCTCCTCCCATCTCCGGCAGAATAATTTTGCATGCTCATTTTGTTTGCATCGTGGCTTTCTTGGTGTTTGTACCATGTTGTATCAGCTATTTCT